CACGCACAGCCACAGCCATAGTGACACCGACACCGACACCCACACCCCACACCCACACAGCCACACTCACAACTACACCCACACGCACAGTCACATCCACATCCGCAGCCACACCCACACCCACACCCTTGGACACGTTCGTAGACTGTAGCGAAAAAAGTTTCTGAGTTTACTGAAACCTTTTGGAAATTACTATATTTAAGGGGTTAGTTTGCAGTGCTTTAATCGTCGTTAGTTTTTCTCGATTTGATGAGAGAAGTGCAATACGTGAGCTTAATTTTCTTTTTGTTCTAATGTGTTTGTGCTTGCATCTGTCAAGCTCATGATGAAAAGCATCGAAGCGGTTGGTTTATACTACTTTTCTTTTCGTGGTTCAGCTGTTGTGATATTTTTTTCAACATTGCTAGAGGGGTTTATAATGAACTCACTCAATTTAGAAGTGTTTTGCGCTTAGAGGTGTAAGCCGAAGGGTCAAATGACGGCGGTTATTTTAATGGTTCAATTTTTTTTTCATGGCGACGACACTTACTAGACTCTATGTTTTTCTACACCGGCGGCGGCTTTAATTGTAAAACTCTTTTTCCGTAGCGACGACGGCTACTACACTGTATGTTTTTCTGCACCGGCGGCGACTTTGACAACCAAAAAAAAAACAAAAAACGTTTTTCCTCTTAAAGGGCGGGAAAATGACCGATCGCACATATATCGATGTCAATGGCGGCGGCGCAACAGCTGAAATAACTCTCACTTCTTTATCTGCCTTCGTCGAGAACAGTCGCATTCCTTACGGTTCTCTTACATACCCATCTATCTTGTAAGTTCCCCTGCAGTAGCAGAGGAGCACTAAATGTCCTCTATTCAAATTCAATCAGCCGAAGTAAACAATCTCGTTCGATCCACTCATCTCATTACTGGTGAATCTGAAATGGGGGAATCACAACAGCAACAATGTTTTCAACCACCAATTTACTATGATAGCAACACTATAGAACAGCGAGAAGGTCTTCTTCGTTCACTAGCACAAAACCCCAACATGTTGAATGATTTTTATCAGTTTCTTGAATTTACTCGAGCTCGTAGTGCACAACAGTCGTTTCGGCATACTTACAACGATCAAATAAACCAAGAGCAACAACAAATTCCATCAATTTTAAATATTAAAACAAGCTTTCAACATAAATCATCAACTCCAAAACGTAGTCGACCGCTCAACGAGAGCGATGGATCAATCAGTTCAGCACAGAAGCAACACAAACCAAGCACAAATGCATACATACAAAGGAAACAAGCAATAACAACTAACGAGCAACAACGAAAATCACTTCCATTTGTTCAACTAAAACGTGCTGTTTCTTCCAATTTGCCGTGCTTTTTCATCGAATTCGATCAATCTACAACTATACATCGACTTCCTTCAGCCTTCGAAGCTAGAAGTTTGATTGAAAAGCATTTTAAAGAACATAATATACGTATTCAACATTTTTCATTAGTTGGATGGGCAAATAAACGTCTTAAATTAGGAGTGAATAACAAGGAAGATTACATGGCGTTAGTAACAACAGAAAATTGGCCTACAGCAATCAAAAGTGTTCCTATTAAAATTGTGAAACCAAAATTTATTCCGGATTGCCTTGCTTTAGTTGTTCGGTATGTTCCACGTGAATTAGATCTTGAATTCGTTAAAGAAGAAATTAAACGTACTATTGCATCAGCCGATAATATAAAACAAATATATTACACGTACGAACGGAAGTCAAATGATTTCCGTTTTACAGTAACGGATTTAACAGAATATAATACAGCACGTGAACTTGGTCGTATTTCGATTGGCAATCACTGGCTATCCATCACACCTTTTTTATCTGGGAATCGTATGACATATTGTACCCGATGTTGGAAAATTGGTCACCTGCGTGAACAATGTAAAAATAATGTACAGCGTTGTCGAGTATGTCTACAAGAAATAAAACAGAAGGAAGAACATGTATGCGACCACGTTCCAAAATGTGCTCAATGTGATGGTGAACATCATTCACTAAATGGTCAATGTCACGTTATTCAATAATATCGTGCTGATCTAAAAGAAGAAGTTACTAAAGCCTTGGAATCTGGAAAACTACATCGAAATGATTATACTAATCCACGATCAGATTTCAATATGAAGAACGAAGATTTTCCATTATAGGCAAATCTAAGAAACCACAACAGTCAGTGTGGAATGGTGTACAAACAGAAACTGGTCACGATATAACACCTGATTCAACAAAAGCACTTCTGCTTATAAATGAAAATCTGGTTGAAATGCGTGAAAGTAATAGAAGAGTAGAAGAGAAACTTGAAAAAATCAATACACAAGTGAATCAAACAGCATTAGATGCAGAATTACACCAAAGCACAATGAATAAATTGATTGAAAATGTTCAATCACTCATTCAAAATGTACTTGGTCCAGTAATGCAGCAAGTAAAGCCTGAATTATTGAAGTCCAAGATTGGTTTACAATCAATCTACGATAATCTGCGTGATCTGAAAAAGGATTTAAAAAATGATTATGAAATAAGACGTAAAAGTCCAACAACATCACTTCAACCACCAACTCCCGATAAACAGATTGCAACATCTGAAAACACGATTAGAGACGATTCATTAACTATGAAATAAGCATAAGTAGTTTTAATTCTTCGCTTAATCCGCTTGCGCTTCCTTTCTTTTCTTCAAAAAACGATGGTTTCATAGATCCAATAGAACAAGCGATGCATCAGCTAAGACAATGGAATTTTTCAACAGGTGATCAAAAACTACTGTTAAATCTCTTGAATGAATGGTACTCTAATAGATCTTTAAATTCAGTATTAAGTCAGTGGGAAAAAAATAATGCAATAATTTCTAATAGTGTTAATACACCTTCAAAAATACTGTGCTATAATGTTCAAGGATGGGGCACACGAGCACTTGAAGTGATAGAATTAGTGTACAAAATAGAGGCCTCCATCTGTATTTTTACTGAAGTGGGCGAGCTTTGGAACACAAATAAACTTCCACATTTTAACATATTTTATCAGAAAGGCACTAATCATAGTGGAGGCGTATGTATAGCAGTAGGGAAGCATTTGAAGGAATCACGTATTGAAACAGACATACCAAATAAATTAGTTATAGATATTATAGGATTATCAGAACCAGTGCGTGTCATAGGTATTTATTGGCCAAACAGCCAAAAACGCAATCTTGATGACATTCTTCCCTTTTTGATAGAAGGAACCATTCTCTCTGGTGATTTTAATGCAACAGTGAAAGAATGGAATAGTCCGTCGACGGATAAGAGAGGAGTATATGTGAAAGAATGGATGGATGAGAATAATCTTAGCTACATTCCATCGACATCACACTCGTCGAAACGCTCATCGCGCAATATAGATTTATCTTTTTCAAATATCCCTGCTATTTCATGTGATACAATGAACTTCGGCAGTAGCGATCATTGGCCTCTTGCTTTAACATGTGAAAATATATTTTTCAAATTGAACGGCTCCTTCTCACATACCTATTGGAAGGCGTTCGAAGCTATTTTAATACTTCTTCAAACATTCTGGGTAGAAGAACAGAAAAGAATAAACACAAATGAATGGTATTGTCAGTACGTGCGATTCCTCGCAGCAGCGAAGAATAGATTAACAAAATGGAAAGAGAAAGAGAAATATAAACCATCATTACCTTATTACATAATCGAGAAATTAAAAGAAGTAAGGAAAATAAGAAATAAACACTATCATCTACGTCAAAGAGGAATAGCAAGACAAGAAATAAGAGTACTTCTTCGAGTTATGACAAGAGAAATAAAAAATGAGATAGGAAAATATAAAGCATCTCAATGGCAAAATTTTTTGTCTACAATCCAACAGACACATGATAGCAAAGACAAAATGTTTTGGTCATATCTATCCCGTATTTATAAAACACGTACATTACCATTCTATAAACTATTAAGTGGTAATAAAGTACTCTCAGAACAAAACGACATTGCAAGGGAACTACATAACTATTATAGTGAACAGTTCAAAAAGCCAGTGATAGATCTGTCTGATTCACATGAAGTAGAAGTTGTTGATAAATGTAATGAAATACTGAAAATTTTATCTAATTCTAAAGCACAAATGGAGAGAACTAATATTGTCGAGGTCAGAAGAGTGATCCGATCCCTCAAACCAAAAAAATCAGCAGGTTTTGATCAAATATCCAACTTCATAATTAAAAAACTTCCGATGAGTTATATCGAATGTCTTGTTGTTTGTTTTAATCAATGGTTGAGTGAATGTAGATATCCAGAGGAATGGAAACTAGCGAAGATAATAACCTTAAATAAACTAAAAGCCGGTGTTCCTAAATGCGATCAAACTCGTCCAATTTCTTTACTTGCAACTCACTCAAAACTTTTTGAAAAACTAATGTTAAATAGAGTCAGATATTGGGCAGAGACAAATCATATTGTTCCAGTAGAACAATCGGGTTTTCGCCCAAGATGCTTACTGCCCACCAGAGTGTTCTCAATTTTCCAGGAGATTAAGAATAGTATGGCTGCCAACATACCAACCTTAGCTATATATGTGGACTATCAGAAAGCATATGACCGCGTGTGGCACGCAGCGCTCTTAACAAATCTGTGGAGGTTAGGTATACCCCTCAGTATGTTGAAAATGTTAGTATCTTGGCTTAAAGATAGAAAGGCGTATATTGTATTTGGAGATAAGTCATCAGAAGTTTTTCATATAAACATCGGTCTACCTCAAGGTAGTAGTCTTAGCCCGTATCTGTTTATAGTGTTTCATTGTGATCTTGTTCAATCTTGCGGAGCTCATTCGGGACATTTATTTGCAGATGATTTATGCGTCCTTATAAGACCCCCATTGGAAGCCAAATTAACACCCATGATCGAATACTTAGAACGAGAAGGCACGAAAATATGCGATCAAATCTTTGAATATTCGAAAAAATGGAAGCAACCTATAAATATAAGTAAAACTGTTGCACAATTGTTTTATACACAAGTAAAAAAGCCAATAGTAAAAATAGAAATGTATGGTCAAAGAATTGAAATTGTAAATGAATTTAAGTATTTAGGATTTACATGGACGAGTAAACTCTCCTTAAAACCAACAATAAACAGATGTATAGAGAATATTCAGAGATCTCTTGCTAAACTTAGATGGTTAAGAACAAGAAGGTACATGTCCACTAAGGCATTGAGACAATGCTTTTTTGCGTACACATTTCCACATTTTGCATGGCTGTTTCCATTTTTCCCTTTACTTCCAGAATCACAACAACAAATTTTACAACGGAAGCTTCGTGTAGGTCTCCGACTGGTGCATCGCTGTCCCTTTGTCTCAGCTGGCAATCTATACACTATGACCAACGAACATTCATTAGATGTTTACGTTAAGCAGTATATTCGAAAAATGATTGAGAAACATCCACACAACGGATCTAGGCCGCTCACTCTTCTATAACGATATTTTCTTTTGGGATGAGTTTTATAAGAGAAAAAATGATCACCTTGGTCAGTTTTTTCGTATCAATCGAGTTAAATTACTGATAAACAAACATGAATCGCTTCTTCTAAAATGGATATCGTTCATTGAAATAGTATAATTACATGTGAAGATAGGAGCACGAGGAATGGTGCTCTCTTCTCTCTCCCTCTCTTTACAAACGTCGTTTTCTTTTTTTTTTCTCTCTTTTCCTTCTCTCTTCACGCGCTCGCTTCTACTCAAATTCTTTACATTTTTTGTTGCTTTTTTTGTCTCTCTTATTACCCTCCCTTGCTGATTCAATATTTAGTACCCGTAGACAAAGGTGAATGCTGTCGTAACTTCTCGAAAGAGATACTTTTTAATTAAAGATTTCGCTATTTAAAGAAAGCTTTGGCTATTTAAAATTCTCAAAAGAGATACTTTTTAATGAAATATCGCTATTTAAAGAAAACTTTGGCTATTTAAAAGCTTTGATACTGGTTTTTTTCATAGTTAGCTAGCAATTCAAACAAAACAACAGTGACACTCAATTATTTAAATAGCTGCGTGGCTCATTGTTTTGCGTTCTGGTTTTTTTGAATTCATCCTCACATCAACTAAGCAACCCCCTGCTCGTGGTTTATTTTGTTTTTTTCGAAATAAAAGATATTAGATGATAAAAAGATAAAATAAAAAAAATGAATTCATCCTCACATCAACCCAACAACCCTCTGCTCGTGATTTATTTTATTTTTTTTTGAAGTAAAAGATATTAAATGATAGAAAGATTGCATAAAAAAACGAATTCATTCTCACTCAACCAAACAAACCTCTGCTCGTGGTTTATTTTGCTTTTTTTTTATTACAGCAAAACATATTAGATAATAAAAAGATGAAATAAGGAAAAACGAATTCATCCTCATATCAACTAAACAAACCCTGTTCTGAAGAATCAGCAAGGTAGGATGAATATTTGAGCAAAATATCTACTAGTGATGATAACGTAGTGTTCTTTTTGATGCTTATAAGAATAAACATATAATTGTCAGTATTTTTTATTGTTAGAAATCGCAGACTCTGATTTAGATTTTTTTCTTCTATCGCAATTTTAAATAGTTGCAAGATATTTAGATAGCAATGATAGGATAAAATAGGCAAATGATTAATTAAATTGCTATACAAATCATTAAATAGCTACAAAATCTTTAGAAAGCTATGATAGGATTAAATAGCCAAATGAATGATTAAATAGCTATAGCAACTTTAAATAGCTACAAGATCTTTACATAGCTATGATAAGATCAAATAGGCAAGTAAATGATTAAATTGCTATGCAAATAATTAAATAGCTATAGCAACTTCAAAATAGCTACAAGATCGTTAGATAGCTATGATAGCATTAAATAGCTATACAAATCTGTAAATAGCTATCGCAAGTTTAAATAGCTGCAAGATCATTAGATAGCTATGATAACATTAAATAGCTATGCAAATCATTAAATAGCTGTGCAAACCTTTAAATAGTTATAGCAACTTTAAATAGCTGCAAGATCTTTAGATAGCTATGATAGCATTAAATAGCTATGCAAATCATTAAATAGCTGTGCAAATCTTTAAATAGCTATAGCAAGTTTAAATAGCTGCAAGATCATTAGATAGCTACGATAGGATTAAATAGCCATGCAGATCATTAAATAGCTGTGCAAATCTTTAAGTAGTTGTAGCAAGTTTAAATAGCTGCAAGATCTTTAGATAGCTATGATAGCATTAAATAGTCAAGTCAAAGATTAAATAGCTATGCAAATCATTAAATAGCTATAGCAACTTTAAATAGCTACAAGATCTTTAGATAGCTATGATAGCATTAAATAGCCATGTAAATGATTAAATAGCCATAGCAACTTTAAATAGCTAGAAGATCTCTAGATAGCTATGATAAGTTTAAATAGCCATGTGAAAGACTAAATAGCTATACAAATGATTGAATAGCTATGGAAGCCTTTAAATAGCTATGGCACGTTTAAATAGCTACAAGATCTTTAGGTCACTATGACGGTATTAAATAGCTATGACAATGATTAGTAGTTAGACTAGGAAATCATTGAACAAGTTTGTCTTCGAAGTCATTTGATGCTAATTATACACAAAAAG